ATTCCGGCAGATTTAATAGCTCCGACCGCAACCGACAAGACAACAGAAGCATGGCCCAGTGGTAGAGTTTTAACTCAGTAACGAAATATCCCCGATTCGAATCCCAGGTGCTCCAGGCCTGAGGTTGAGTATGGGTGGCCGATGATGGCAAATAAACCAGAAATTATCATTTCTGTCTTCCTTGACTGTGACAGTTACCTCCCTCTGCTTATATTTCTAGTCGCTATGCGGCCGCCTTCTGGACTCTAGATAGAGCCCAAAAGCACGGCAGGACAAGCATGTCTCGGTACCTGATAGGTGAAAACCAGCTCCAACGTAATAAGACCTGTATGCAGAATTTAGCAGTCGCTGAAACTGAGAGGCAGAATTTTCTACAGGGATCTCTCACTCTCAAACCCGCAGGTCTTTTTGAAAACGTCCCCATTTGACCTCTCGTCCTAGCTCACAGTTTACTCAGTTCAGAATTACCTGCGAAATTTATGTCAACCCGCGGTATCAGTTACCAGTAGCCAGACCACCAGACCAGTGCTAATCCATTCTAGCGGTGAGTAACAAAGTTCAGTTGATGACGATGTTGTATCGCAGTTTTTCTCGTCAAAATGTCCATAATCAGGCCAGTAATATTATGCCCTCGAGGTACTCTGCAATTCCCTTTGATCCTCATTTGTAACCCAAAAGTCAAGCAGTTATTCTAATTTTCATATTTTTTACATGTAAATGCTTTACTTGAAAAATGGAAACATCAGAAGGATGCCTCAAAACTTAGGGCGTTAGTGTGGTTTATATTAAACACATACTCGAAGTCAAGACACATTAGAATCAAAGAACAGCAATGTTGAATGTTATGCTATTCTTTACTCATAACTGAAAATGTCAAAGTGTGATGAACAAATCTGCAAAGGACCTACGCTGTCCCCATGTGTCACTCAGCCCCTTGTGGATGGTCCTCAGGTGATCTTAGGTAAAGTAACTTTATGCGACTCTTGACAAGCAAAACTCCTCGAGAACCGGCCCGTTCGTGCACTTAACTCAGTGTAGCACACATCCTTATCTAGAACTGTTCTGAATACCGAACTAACGAAGTAGTAACCTACTAGCGTGTTCGATTTATGTGAAAACTTTGCTCACGTTGCTTTTGTTTTTTTTTGTAACTGCGCTCTGCTGGCATTGTAATCTGAGGAATTTCCTGTTGTAACTCGGTCGAACAAAGGAAAAGTTTTACTCGCTGCCTCTTTTCTGCCTTTTCATTTGTGGGTAGGAGGGCTGAGATTGAAAACGTGAACTAACGATCAAAAGTTCTCCATTCTGTCGGTAACCAGACATTTTGGTTGACAAGATTCCCGTCCCAGGTGACTGCAGGCTGAGTTTGGTGGTTTGTGCACGAATTATTTAAATTAACCCTGTGGCGTCTATTGCGTCTGGGTCTCCAAAGTTGCCTGGTGTTACGCATAAGTAATCAGGCGAACTGCATCCGCAATTGTTAGACACATAGAAGGCGACTAAATGAGTGTCCTGAAAGCTAAACTCTATTCACTGGTGCCGGGAATGCTTCATGTCATACTGCTATTCACGACTTGAAGTTAGGCACTACTGCACAAATATCCAGGGAAAAACGTCCACTTGCCTGTCAGAGCAAGGCGTTTTACATAGGAAACATTCTCATCTTATCTAACGTTCAAAAATAAACATATAGTGGCAGTTGTTTTTTACTGGTTTCTTTAGCTATCGACACTTGAGGTTAAAAAACCAGCTCTGGAGGTTAACAGAATCAGCGGAAGGTGGTTGAACTACCTTAATTAAGATTTTCCCGAGAAGTGTAGTATGTGACTGAAGACCGGAAAGTTAGGAAAGTTTTATGTATTCTTCTGGTTTTCTACAAGTGGTCAGAAAACTTTACTCGAAGTTTCTGTCTATTTGACAATTTAAATAAATCAGTTTGAGAAAAGTTCTTTGTTGTATTGTAACCGAGGTGGAAGTTTTAGTAATGAATGATTTAGTAGGAATGTCAGAAGTGGATGACTGAACCAATTAGGGCTAGACAACTGTGGGAATAACTCAAACGAATATGTAGAAATTAGACATATTGCCACAAAAAATAGGTAAATATGCCAAAGGAAAATGCCAATTTTGTCCAAAAACTCAACCCTACAATCTCCTGTATCTTTTGTCGTTTAATTTTTCATCTATCATCTACTAAAAAATGCATGTTTTAGCGTGCTTCTTGGGATCGTTTAAGGGGCTAACACTGGAAGCTCGCAATGGGATTCTGCAAACACCATATGCATGTCTGTGCGAACGCACTGATTAAAAAAAGTCCGATGTGGTTATGCAGCCCCATCTAAAGTAAACAAACCCCAGTCACCTCTAATACGGCACCGGTGATAATAGAGCTTTTTACAGGTGGTGCCGGGGAACGCACAGGACGACGAGGTCAAGTAGTTGTGTGCAAAAGAAAAGCTATTGGGAGTACACAGTTGCACTTTTAGTGGTTGAGAAATAGTTACGCTAACCCCTAACCCCTAACTCTGGTCCCTAATCATAACCCCTAACCCTGCCCCAACAGTATTGTGTCCATCAGGTGGGGCGACCAAACCACATCTTGCCAAACTATCTACCCTCACAAATGATACAATTTTAAATTATTTTGAGATAAAAACAATTTTATTTCATTTTCACTCTAATATAAAAATATTACGATTATGTTGTCTTAACAAGATCACTAGCCCCCCTTTGTTCAGTGCCAAAGCTTCTGGTCATTATCATTAGCAGATCAGTGAAATGGCTGGTTCCCCTAACCCTCTTTCGGCAGTGAGCGTGGACATCATTACTCGAATAGGAAGAAAACAAGAATAAAATAGGCGTTGCTTAGCAGTCCGTCACATGTATCAACGGGACGAGCATGTCCGTGACCTGATGAGTGAGTACATCTCAACGCAGTTACTATTCCCAGTCACAACCGGCAGGTCCGTGGTTCAATGGCAAGGTGCTATACTTAAAAGCGCTCAGTAACCAACGGATATTAGTTCGAATACCAGGCCATGCAAACCTAGGGTTGGGCAAGGCTGGCCGACCACGACGGCCAATAAGCTAGGAATGACAATCTCGGTCTCCCTTGTCCTTATAGTTACTCATCCTGCCGCATAATTATTCCTCGTTATCCGAATGTCTGCGAGGACCCTAGACCCAGCTCAAAGACGCAAGGGGGGCTAGCATGTCCGGTAACCTGGTCAATGCACAGACTTCCATCATTTTTCGACCTCCAACAACAACGAAATTTTCCAGACCCAGAGAATTCAATTTCAAATGCCCTCCGTCTTGCTTTTTAGTTTAATGTTCACTGTATCGCCCAAGCCAATGAAACCACAATAACGTAGTTGTTATTGTATTTGCCTGTGCTCAAGAGCGTAAACACGGAGAAAATATGGACCTTGGATTTATAAATTTTTGGCTCAAATGCGGGATCTTTACACTCAGGCAAAGCGAGGTGGGCAACAGAACGAGCTCTTGCGTCTACAGCAATCGACTAGTAGCTAATGAGGTTCATTCAACAGCCTATAGCGCGTCTTACTCACCAAATCTTCATACAAGCAATATGTCGATGTTTGAATGTATTATCGCTTATGGTAATCTGGACCTAAAGTCACATGTAAAGCAAATTCACCTAAACTTTCGAGCCAGGTTGCATACTTCTCCGGTTGTCTGTTGAATGCATTCATGTACCGCCTTATCCACATACACGAAAGTTTTAGTAGATTGATAAAGTTGCCCAGAAGTATTATCGAGATACGGGAGAAGACCGCGATGGCAACTTCATACTCATGCTTCGCCGCCAATCGACCATATTTCAGACCCCGAAGACTCGATATTCGAACACACATTCATTTGGTAATTCAGCGAAAGTTTGGTCGTCGCATGCAACGACATACGTAGCGTGAACGCAGAAATGGCGCGACACCTAAGGCTTGCGTGAGAGTTAGGTAATTGTGGGGGGGACTTGCTCAGCATCAACCACACTCCCTCCCCCCTCTCACCCACTTTATTCCGATGGGAAGACAGGTGGCCGGAGACAAATGGCCCCTCTGCCTCTAACACGCAATAACGCGGTCCACACGGTACGTGCCGCGATACAATTAGGAGGACCTTCACCTCAAGTCAATGACAATGTCATAAAGGCCAATCTGAAAAGAAACCATTTCAGTCCGATTCTCAGTCCTCAACTCCCTGTGTTGATTGTAAGCTCGAATTTTGCACAAACGGCTCCAATACAAACTTGTCACACGCATGTCATCTGTCCACGATATCCAAGGTCATTTTGTCATTGAGTGGACCAATTTGGCCATATGCCCCTTCATGAAAAATTAGGCAGAACAACTTACTCCGTGTTCTTATCGCTACCCCTCCCCTTACCTGCACAAACACCCATCCCTAGGTCACTTAAGAACGTCCACCAGTCCATGTACCACACCCTATATAAATAGCATCTCTTTCCGGCAACAAACATGTGATCCACTTCGGTATCTTTGATACGGCCGGCTCAGCATCACATATCAAATCATACACATCCACTCACGTAGCAAGAATGTACTTTTATGCATCCTGGTACATGACGTGGTGGCCAGGTCGTGTGTAGAATACACAGGCAGACTGTCTGGTGTTGTCGACCGCTTCATCCGACTTGATGCCGACTTACATTGTAGCTGCTTGTGGGGTTGCAGTTGCAGCCTAGTCTTGAAGATTACACGTCGATGATCGGCCTAGTAGTCAGTATCGCGCATAGCCTTAGTCACGGGCACGTCAAGCTGGTCACGCCTCCGAACCAGAATTTAGTCTAGCAGATGTTGGTGACGTGCGCGAGGAGGCGCCAACGCCTTCTCCTTCCGCATCAGGAGACAAAAGGTGTTGGTTAGGAAAGCCTGTTCCGCGCAGGCCTCCCGGAGGAGAAGACCATTACCTTTGTAGCTGCCGATCTCACGTCGACCGAGCTCTTTCCTCCACGCAGCATGGTCTGTGCCAATGAAGACACTGAGGCCGCCAAGGGCAACCAGTTTGTCCGCCTTCAGCAAAGTTACAGGCAGATCGTACGTATCTTTGCAGGACTTTGTTCTCATGCCATTGGTGGTGGTCACTTGGGTTGCATTGACAAATTTGCTCCCGTGGTGTGGCGGCTTCGTGGCGATGAGACAGTCACGGGCGCCCTGTGGTAGGTACGACAGCCGTCCAACGACGTCGTTTATGGTGGTGAAAACAGCTCGCTATCTCATCGTTCTGCACCTGGACTTCTGATCCAGAAGAAGGTGTATCAATCAACGCCAACCGAGAGAGCGGTGTCCTTTCGGGTAGCCTGTGGGAAGGCACGGGAACGGTTGTCGTTTTTTCTTCTAATGCTCCGATGGAGTTTGTATGTCGGCCTACGGATGGCGAGTTTTATTGACAATTTTGACGCACTTCTTACTAGCCCCCTTATCCGCGAAGGGGTGAGCGGTGCTATCTCTAAATAAGACTGCCAAATTCGTCTATGGTTCACAACTTTCGCTTAGTGAGAAGATGACCCAATGTAGCCTGGACAGTTTACAGGATTACACAGTGCCCTCTCTGTAAGACTTTCTGTTTCGAGGGTGGGAAGGGTGAAGGAGAACTAGTTTAGGGACTAACAGGCGTTAAAACACACACGCCGAACACCCTCAACTGGTTTTGCCTATTACTCAAAGACGTTCACCAGAATGTGGCCGTCATGCTAAGAGCCACTACATGAGATTACGCGTGAGAGCTCGGGGTCGGAACGGGGTGAATTTAGAAATGTCCATCAGGTTCATAGGTTGACAGAGACATTCAATGTACTGTTTACAGGTACTTGTTACCACCAGAGTCTTTTCTCTGCCACCAGGTCCAATTGGCGTCGCTCATGCCACGTCTTCGCGCGAGATAACTGTCGGTGGTGTATCTGTGGTGCAATTCCCTCGACAATGTAAATTCGTGCAACGTTCGTCCGACCGCATCGACTAACCCGATGCTACCGCAGAACTGCAACGTGGGTTCCCACCCACGCCACCCGTCGCTGAGTAGCCACTCCACTGCGGAACCGTCGACTTCCATCCCTTCGGCTGCCACCGGGAGTATTAAAGGATGTCGCACATGCTAGTGGCATTTGCTGATTCATGCCAGCTGCATTGCCGAATATGCGTTTTTTTTGCTGCCTTTGAGCTGCTGTCCGCAGCCCGAATTACGCATTTCAGTCTCACTGATATTTGTTGGTCGCTGGGCGACCATACGTAATGGCTACAGACCGAAACTGTATCAAGACAGATCTCTGAATGTCATTTCCATTTGTCACTCTAAATTTCTGCGCGAGACTGTTTTCAGTGCATATTCCTGGTCTAAATTACGGCTGATTACGGCCACACCTTGCCATTATTGCAACAAGGCGGGCCCTTGAATTTGAGCCGCCATTTTTGCAGCTCTCCATTCATGTGTGGAATTTTATAAATTAGACATTACTCTGCCTATTTCCTTTCAATATATTTAACTGTTTTACATCCCTTGTTTGTCTGAACTAAGATTATGAGGTCGTCTCTACAGTACGTTAGCACCCTTTTAAAAGTAATTAAATCGTCAGTTTCACTAACGAATGTCCATGGTACAAACTGCTGCACTTTCCGTCCAATATGTCGTATTTGTGATCGTTCTGTGCCAAATTTATCAAATTTGCGTCAACAAAAGCCTATGAATCGAAAAAAACAGTGGTGTGGCTGGCAACTCGCATTCAAGCATCAGCCAAGGAACAAAATGTCACTTCCAGGCTTCTTGTCAACAAACTGCCGGCCTATCTTCAACAAAACCCACGATTTGGAGCTACTTTTATCGAAAAAAATCACGATAGAACTGAAGTCGTTTGCCTTCAAGAGACATGGTTAAATGGTGATATTCGCTCAACTTATTACTCCTCCATCTTTTTACCGATTATGAACGGATAGAAAATCTTTATCTTGTGGCAGAGGTGGAAGAGTTGCCGTTTTTGTTAATCAAAATTGGTGTAGAGACTGTAAATGCGTATTTCCTCACTCTGCTGATTTGATAGATGTCATCGCTGTTCTATGTAAGCCCCGTTTGTTGAGTAATTTTAAAGGCCTTATATTTGTTAGTATTTACACTCCCGCTCTTCCTGTGAAGGTGCTCTAACCCGTTTTTCACGACTTTATTTCACAAAAACTTGCTATATTGTATATTGCTATATAATATCTTATTCTCTCCTGCGGTGATTTTACTCGCGTGAATTTACTCCCCCCCACACTTTAGGCTTCGATTATCTTGCCTCCTTCAATGCTCGCGCAGATGCCCCTCTTGATCACATTCTGTCCAACCACAGCAAGCTTTTTTGCGTTAAAAATAGAGCTTCGTTGTCAGGTTCCGATCATTATACTTTATTGGGTCTTCCGAAAATCTATTCCACCTTTAACCGTGCACTGTTAGCCAGGCCTGAGAGAAAGGTTAAGGTCCGCATCACGTCCGCACAAAACATTCGCCTGCTTCAGACTTGCATATCTTATACTATCCTTGCCTTCGTTAAAAACTTTAATGCTGAGTTCTGTTCTTCCAACCTAGTGGTGTTTTAAAATGAAATTGTTGATATTTGCTGTCCTCTTGATGCTGTAATGGTATGACCGGATATAATTTCTTCTCCCTACCTGAAATTCTTAAGACGAAAAAAGGACTCCTTTACAAGCTAGGCTTACGTGACGGCCTTAAGGACGTTACCACCTTAATGAAAACAGAGGTTGACAGGCTAAATAACCTGTTTGTTAGTCAACTTTTTACCTCTTCTTCCTCCCGCCTTTTCCCTACCTACTCTGTTGAAATTTGGAAGAATATTAAACGTCTCACTGGCCATCTCAACACACTGCTGCATGTGGATGCGGATTTAGACTCCTTAAATAAACATTTTATCTTTAGTCACAATGATTCGCATCTACCCTCAGATGACATTCCCATATCATCATGTGCCTTCCAACCCATGTCTGTGGCATCAGTGGAGAAACACCTTAAAAAGGTACGTGGATCAACAGCTACCGGACCGGATGGTGTCTCGCCTTTTCTTCTTAAATCTTGTTGTTCTCAGATAGTCCCTATTTTAACGCACCTTATTAACATGTCTTTCATGGAGTCCAAGATTCCCGACGCCTGGCGTACAGTAAGAATCATTACCATCCACAGAAACACCGCTAATTTTGATCCTAAAGCTTTTCGTCTAATTGCCTGCTCCTCCACACTAATAAAGCTTGCTGAAAGAGTTAAACTAAATATTATAAAGCCTTTTTTCTCCCAGTTTTTCCGACCCTCTACAATATGCATACAAAGCCAAACGCAGCACTTTAGATGCTGTTGCTCTTGTGTTCCACTCTGCTCTAAAAGAATTAGACAAGGGTGGACGCGAGTACGCATGCGCTTTTCCTGACTACTCCTCCGTCTTCAATACCGTCCCGCGCCCTCTTCTCCTTACCAAAACATCCGCGTGCGGCTCTCCAGGCTGGGTCGTCTCTTGGCTTGGCGATCATTTTACTTCGTGCACTCAATTTGTCCAATCTGGCAGGCGGAAATCTATGGTCCTTCCCGTTGACTGCGGAGTTTTTCAGGGTTCCATTCTATCCCCTAACCTTTTATTCCTCCACACCGATGATCTAAGATTCCCTAACGACTGGCTTTTGGTTAAGTATGTTGGATACCCTCTCAAAAATCGAACACACCTCCATTCTCTAAAGGATGGCCTTAACCATGTCCTAGTATGGTGGGAGGAAAATAATCTCCTAATGAACAACCAAAAACCAGTTCATTGTATTTTCCGACTACGGCCCTCTCCTAGTCCTGAATCCTCTGACATCCTTCCTAACGAGGTATCCTCTTTCAGATACCTTGGCTTTACCCTGTCTTCAAATCTTCCATTTCCCTCCATTTTGAGGCCCTCTTTACTAAAGTTCGCAAAGTCCTTTATTCCATTCGTCGTTTGCGTTCCTACCACACACCTCAACCCTTAATCTGACGATTCATAGATGTCTGCATTCTTACTCGTATCTTATATTGCTCTACTGTCGTTTTTCCTGCTTTGATCAAAAAAGATCTGTTAATTTTAGATCGAGTCCTCCAAATGCTCCGTTCTGCTGCTGGTGTTTCTTATCTCTTTTTAGTCGATATTATCCTACAACGGCATTTCAATACGGTCAAGCGATTTGCTGGTCGAATTCTAGATGACTTTGCCCATCCTTTGCATTCTGATCTTATTTCTGCGAAGTCTTCCCACCCGATGTGCCGCAGCTTCCGACTTACGTCTTGTCGCACATCGGCTTTTCGAGATTCTGTGTTGCTATTCCTGGCGCGCTATCCTACGTGTGAAGATATATAAATACAGAAGGTAAGACTTGAACTGCCCCCATAATAATCGTTCCTTTTGTGTTACACTTTTTGACTCTTGAGTAGTCTATTAACCTATTTACCGGCCATAGTGACTGGAGCCAAATTTTTGTTGAAAATTTTGAATTTATGATTTCAGAATAAAGCGAATTCCTCTACCCCTCTCTCCCTCTCTCTCTCTCTCTCTCATGAAAACTTAGTGCCTTCACCTGCACTCTTGCTGACCGGTTAGATGTCCTTGGCAAGGCAAAATTAAACACTGGGGATATAGGCAATGCAAATGCAAAATATTTAACTTTGATCAGCATACTTCAGATATTTGTGCGCCATAGTTCTTGCTTCAGATTTTTCGTTCAACCATGCTCGTTCATCATAATTAGCTACTAGGGTTGACTTAGAAAATCACATTTGCAGCACGAACGGACTTACCACGTGACGGCCTCTGAATCATTCCTGACTTCTTCGTATGCCGCGCTAACGCCCTCTTTGTCCAGGCTGGCGCTCATTCTGTGGTTGAGATTTGGATATTCTCAGCGGAAATGTCTAACAAGATCAAAATACTGTCTCATTACAATTTCAATTATTGTACTATTGACTCTGTGCTCCAGACTGCTTAGAAAAACCGGAACGCTCTGACGTATTCTATTCAAATTCCCCTTTTTCTTCGTCCCTCCCCCAAAAAACTGTTTCCGAACAGACCCTTTCTGGGCAAAAAATCGAAACCACATACTTTAGCTATGTCTGTTAAAATATAACAAGATTTGCGCACTTTCCTAGTTTTGGCCGAGAGCGGCCGCATCATATTGCAACAGAAAAAATAACAAAACCGAGATTTCGGATGGATATAAAACCGCCAAAAGTCTTTCTGGAAGTCGTCTTATGGAGTGCGATCCTGATTGTAAATAAACTCCTAGTGTGACCGCGAGGAGCCAGTTTGGGTGACAATACTTTATTGGACCCAGGCGCCGTTTTTTATATTTCAATTAAAACTCTTTAAAATGACAAAAGAAGGATATGCTAAAAACGAAAGTTGCTGCAACTATAAACTGGCACCAGAAGGTAGCCACAAATGCAAAATTCACTCCAGAAGAATTCCAATCCGCATTTTCGACCCAGATTTCTGAGACATGCAAATAAGTTGTTTACAACTACACTGAAGTCCGCCTGAAGTTGTCAACGAAAAATGACACCACTAAGCAGTGCTGTCCTACAAGACTGGCACACTTTGATAAATTCTAAAAAGCACTGTGGTTTGAAGCTTACCTAGTTAATCTTTAAACATTTTGCTCCAGCTCACTGGTGAAAACTCTAGACACGCTGAACACTTCAGAACCCTCATCAACCGCCCGTCCATGATATCGAACGCCGCCATCGACCGTCCCCCTCCCTACAAGTTGGAGCAAACAACGACTTTGATCTCCTGCCGTCCCTCCCAGAAATAACTCGAGCCGTGCGCCGGATTTCCGTCTGAAAAGCAGCGGGACCCGAGCCGCTCCCGACTACAGTCTATAAGCGTGGCAGACCGGCTGATGAACAAACTCACAACGATGCGCCAAGAGGTGTGGCGCCAAGGATAATTTCCCCAGGATTTCTAGGACGCGACAATTGTCCATATACTCAAGCAGAAAGTGAACCGGTAACTCTGTGACAATCAGAGTGATCTCGTTGCTCGACATTGCCGGGAAAATCTTCTCCCGCGTCCTCTTCAATCGCCTGAAAATCCAACTTCTCCAGACCGGCTGTCAGCATCTCAACACTCAATGAATGCAGGCGACAATGCGCGCTTCGACAAACACTTCATGAAGTCATCGTTGCGGACAACTGTGCACTAGCTATTACGACGGAAGCCGCCGTACAAAGAAACATGGATCCCTTCGAATCCATCTGCGCCAACCTAGGGCTGACCACCAACACGGACAAAACAGTAGTCATGCGTCAATCAACACCAGAAGATGAACACACTACGCCTAACATGAACGGGAATGGAAACCAGCTAGTATTTGTGAACAAATTCGCCTGGCTAGACAACACTATCTAAAACCGCACCATGATAGACGACGAAGTGACCCACCAGATCTCAACAGCTAGTTAGGCTTTCGGCTGGCTGCAGGCTTCCGTCTGGAACTGTTACAAACTTTTACTCAATAGGAAAATCAAAATTTGCAGGGTGGTAGCCCTAACAACACTGCTATACGCGGTGGATAAATGAATCGTTCACACCAACCAAGTCAGGAAATTTAATCCCTTCTACATCAGCTGTCCCCGGAGAATACTAAAGCTTAGGTGGCAGAACAGTATCTCAGGCACGGAAGTCTTGGAACGGACCGAAATCTTCCGCACTCCTTCCATGCTGAGGCAACTTCATCTGCGATGGAGAGGCCACCTCGTAAAGATGGGCGACGAGTGGTTGCTACAGCGACTCGTCTACGGCGTTGTCACTACGGGTGTTCATGAACAAGGTGGACAACAGTGACGTTATGAGAACAGCCTGTGGACCTCCCCTAAGGATCAACAAAGCAATCCGGCTACCTTGGAAAACCACTCCCAGCGCAGACCGGCCCGGAGAAGTGCAGTGGAGACTGAAGCAGAAATCTACTAAGCCAACCGGATTGCCACTGCCAAAGTCAAAAGAGAAGCTCGTAAATCTCAAGCGCCTCCAGTCCACAGCCCCAACTCCCAACCACTTCCAAAATGCCCACACTGTCAGCTAACATTCCGCGTTCGGATCGGTCTCCAGACCCAGTACAGCAAAATCCTAACGACCCCACCTGCTGCCTCCACAAGCCCCCCTTCCCCATAGTCACCACCTACCGCAACCCCCGCGACTGCGATCACCATCAGCGCCGATGCGCACCACAGCCTGCCCCATTGCCGCTACGCCGCTTCCCTCCCTCGCGGCGCGAATACCACTCCCCCCACTCACACCACCACCGACGAAAACATTGCCGACGCCCCGTCAACCGCCATGACTACCACAACCACCACCATACACATCAAGTAGAGTGGTGACTCGATCCCAACCTGTCCTCATTACGACCGCACCCGCACATCACGTATCAGACTAGTCGGCCGCTTTCCAATTCATGGCACAGAGACCATCGAAGCAGTGCCTGGAGCACCAGTATCCATCCACCGCACCCGCCTTAAATACCCACGCTGCCAACGCACATTTAACTACCTCATGCACCTACTCAGTTGCATTTGTCTCCGTGAAAATCTACGGTGAACCACCGCAGACTGGACCACACCAACATATATTTCACCATCAATACGTGAACCACACATGAACTCGTCCTTCGTCGCACACCGCCGGCAGGGACTAGGCATACCTCACGCTAGTGTGAAGTGTGCGTTTTGACTCCCTGCCCATGTGGTCCACATGGCACTGTCACACACGCGAGATCCCAACCGCCCATTGCCTTTGCGTGAAATCCTGGTGTATTGTGTGGGGAGCCAGGTCGTGTATGTGGATGTGGTGTTTCTAGTCCTGTCAGCCACTGCGTCTAATCACCGCATCGGCCCGGAACAGACAGTGGACTGGTGCATGGTAGAGGGAAGAGAGAGAGTGATGTCGACTGTCAGCATACATTCCTCACTGTAAACAATCTGACGCGCTTGAATCTAGGTATTCCTCAAGGCCGCTCGTTCAGTTACAAAAAAAGGTTCGATCTGTCTAATTTATGAAATTTGTGCGATCCTCAAATGCGCATAATTTTGACTCTTTCTATAAGCGTCTGATATACTTTGAGTGCAATCGTTCTAAAATTTCAAATTTTTCTCTGTGAGCGGCTCTCCTATGAGGCATAAAATGGATTGACACAGTAAGAATAAGCGCATACTTTGCAGGCAAAAACACCCATTCAGTAGCTTTCAGACTGCAAGTATATTTACACAAACCTTTTGCTTAGCTACTGAGCCGTCCATGCATGCTCCATAGGCATTCATGAATAGTCGGACAACACGGGGGGGGGCTGGTGAATGCATCCGCATGATGAATCGAGGAGGGTTTGTGGGAAAACTGGGAGGACCATTTAAAAGACGAAAGAAGGCACTTATTTGCATACATGGATAGTAATTTCTTACCGGTTGACTCTCTGAGCGTCCTGCAACTGAAAACGCGGAGCACTGTTAGCGTTGGTGTTTAAGTTAGAAGGGCGACAGCTCACTGGCTGTGCAAGCGTTTACATTTGGCTCCGTAAATTAGAGTTTACGCCTAGGTCCTGTTGGCAGTCCTCTAGGCCTTTTCTTATAGGTCAAGAGACAGTGTATTCTGTGTCATCAGTAGTGTGTCGCCTGATCTGATAGCACTGTGAGTGTGTAATGGTAATGCTGTGTCGTGCAACCCCAGTCGACGTCACAGGTAGTCCTTGAGGTCTGGCTTAACAGCAACGGATACAAAGGACGATGTTTAAAGTCGAACCCACCAAGGGACTAGTGAAAAGCTAGGATTTTATATCTGTAGAATAGAGCCTAAATCAATGGCACTTTCAGGTAAACGTCTGTCAGATCAGTGCTTCAAGGTTTCACTTTTCTACAAACAAAAGAATTTTGGACAGCACATCCCTGGAACGAACGGAAAGGCTAATATTTGTGCAAGAGCATACCAAACGAGTGGGTCCATTTGCATGTGGGCAGTTCCTTAGGTTTGTTTACAGTGGCGTGCATTAAGCGTAAGCCGCAGAACATATGGTATTTACAGTGACTGACCGATCTCATGAAATGTTAACTGAAATACTAAAAAGCGTTTTCGATTGGAAAGGACTACTTAGGTGGGGTTTTAATATTTATTATCACGCGGCATAGTCCCATAACGTTTTGGACTCGCAGGATTTTGGCTTTTGAATGCGCTTCTTTTCGCAATCTTGCAAAAACTGCACTGGACAAAAATGACTAATTAATTGGTATACATTTTCACATTGATTTTCGACAGCCTTATAGATTCCTATATTTTATAGAATACATGCGCAAAAACATGCTTTCGTTTACTCATTTGGCAACAAACCACTCATATTCGAGGAAAGTGTATATTTAGGTTCTTTGAAAAAGTTTTCTATTTCTCGAGTAATTTTGAGTCACATAGGCCGTTGCATTAGCGTTAAGCGGTTTCAGTCTATTAGGTGTATACTTCCTGCGTGAGGAAAATCATATATCCCCCTGTCTTTAAAGAGATACCATGTAGAGTTCACAAAATTTTGCAATCGATGCGGACTATGTTGTATACTTTACGAAGAGCATTAATAAACGGACAGGTACGATGCTGTATGAACTGACATCGCACGGTCTTAAAAAATCTCATAAGTAGAAACTTTCCGAAAACCGAAAAGTACTCTTTCTTCGAGTATAAAATGTAAAGATGTTGTGATTTGCTGCCGAATGAGCAAAAGAAGGCATATGTTGTGCCTCTCTTCTATAAAACATATTTTAATTCATAGGGCCATCGAAAATCAATGTTCAAAATGCATACTAATTAAGTAGCCATTTTACCGAGTGCAGTTTTTACAACAGGTGAAAAAGTGCACTGAAAAGTTTACATCCAGCGACTCTAAAATATTATGGGACTGTTTTGCGTGATCATCAATATTACGACCCCACTAAGGTAATCCTTCCTAATCGAAAACGCGTTTCAGAATTTCGGCTAACATTTCGTGTGATCGGTCGCACCTTAATTGGCCAAAGGGCAAATGAGCGCTCATCAACCAGTTGAAAATCGTAGTAAATCAGTCGTTGACAGTTCGGGCAGTCCACTGACTTGAAGTGGTAATTAGATGCCACCCAGTTTGGTGAAAAAAAAACTAGTTTCGGTTGTCTGCTCCGACAAGGCTCACCTTACGTCATGTTCGGGGTTGTTAACGCTACACCTGTAAACTAAGTGCTGGTCTGCGCAAGATGACATAGACAAGAGCAACAAAAAGGATCAGCTCTAAAAAGTAATACACTATTAATCAGTGCGCACGTACGTGTAAGTCTTATCACAGCTGACTGGATTCCATTCTGGAGGCATTTCCATTCTGAGATCCGTTCATTTGTCCCCAGCTTGTCGGGTCACGGCCTCGCAAGTCCACTCCAAAACACCTAGTCGACCGTTGAGTATCGTAAGATAAAGAGAGAGACTAGGCTCGAAAAAGTGTCGTCAAAAATTCATCGGAGGGAAGGTCAGAACTTACTCATTCATGCAAATTGTGGGAAGATCAAATATCACCAGTAATAGAGAACTTCCCTGGGACGGGATTGGACAGTTGACCTCGAATCCGTACCAGGCGCTCTGCCTGCCCAGCTGCCAGGGTCATGCCTATGCTCTCCCATCTAAGGGCATGTTCACTTATTGACCGAATTGTATTGTAAGTAGCACTAAACATTGTTCCTAGTCATTATGTGGTGCAGACTGGCTCAGGCCTTTCACTCCTAAGAACGTTTGCCGTCTTTGAAAACCCTTCAATGTTGAAGGCAGCATATGCTTCCCAGTTTTAGCATCTGATGTGCATTCTTGTCTTACAGTTTCATTGTCCACGCTTTTGCCCTCTCAGAGCACAATGTTTAACGTTTCAACCCTAAGCAACAACAGCTTGCAAATAAGCTGAGCCTCGAAGGTGTGTAAACGAAAACATTGTAACCTGTCCTGAGGTCTATTGAAACCTTCCTATTGCATTTCTATGAGAACTGTACTCTTCCACGTCATACGGGCGCGAGAGTTAAAGTCTACGTAATCACGCCCGAATCTTGTTTATTCGTTAGTCATCATTTCCACCACAAGAAACACGCCATCACAGGCAAATTCCTTGTAAAGCTGGAAAGGCACGACAATTAGGTGGTTACTTTCGAAGTTTGTACTTATAAATCACCTATTTTATTCGAAGAGTGACATATTGTGTGCCAAAAGATAATGTTTACAATAGATCTGAGCCTTGCCCGGAATTCAAACTCACTCGCAATGATGCACTCATTTGTCAGAAGTCAGTGTTAAAAACATTAATCTTTGACGTTAAGGAGGTTTACCGAAGAAATTTTCGTCTCGGATAGTGGGCTTGATACAGACGCAGGGAATGCAGTTTCTACGACAGGTGCACTATTCTACTGGTGTTACATCTTCTCACTTCCACCAGTTGTAGAGGCCGGAAAATAATAAAATGAAATGAACGCAAAAGTCCTGGCAGGACACGGAAATAAGTACCCTGCCCCGTACTATGAGCGACCGTGCGGTAAATTCCAGTGGTTAAGGGTCAGTGTTAGATAGATAGGGGTCGGATTTGGGGTCAGAGCACGAGGATAGGTATCCCCTTGCCCAAGGCCACCTGGAGAACGGGGATACTTATTTCCGTGTTCAACCAAAATCCTTGTTAGTGCGACCGCCAGAACCTCGCGAAATTTAATAGAAAACCTATGATTTATTTGGTAACATATGACGGGCTAAGGAGAAGGCAAGAAAGCATGGTGGTTACATGGAGTAGCGTGCACTGATCCCTCTTTAACATTGAAGTTTCCTCCTAGACCTGAGCGTCATGATTGAAAGGATCACGTTTTGCCTCTTATTTTAAGGAGTTACACCAGCTTAACGTAGCCCAATCTACCCGGACTGTATTCACCACCAAGCGTATCTTGCGAGTATGCCGGGGATACGGGAAAACATTTGACTGTCCCACTAACTCGTCACTCTCCGAACTCTTAACGCCGACGGATAAGTTCTTGCTAGCTACTGTAAAATTACTTTTGATGGGATTGTTTGTGAACTTACCGATACGTATAACACAAATCTCTTTGGGTGCAAGCCAGTTCAAGGCTTACGACCCTTTTCATTTTCCACTACCCTTCATAGCCTCAAGGAGACCGCGAAACTCCTCGGCTGATTGGTAGACCACCGCAATAGACAGGTGCTAATCTGGCAAATCGCAATCACGACTGGGCTGCCGTGGGTCGCTCTGCGATGTGGATAAAACTGCCTGTTTTTGACGAGGCCCCACTGCTATCTTTATTGATTTCGCATCTCTACAAGTGTCCTAGTTGGATTTGAACAAGGCAAAGGCGACAAAGCATGCCGAATTTACTGACGTCATAAATTTCGAGACCTCTCATTCAGCTGCACACGGTCCTTGCATAGTTATATGAGCGGCGAACTGTTCAATCAACGATCGACCTAGAGAGATAAAACGTGATAGGTAATCTGGAAAATGGGTCTAGTATGCGGGTGCATATGGCGAGGGGGGAGGGGGAGAGAAGTCATCCTAGTATGAGAGTTAGGACTACAGTGAGAACTTGTGCCGCGTGATTTAGAGTGCAACGTGCGGAGAGCATTCAGTCATGCCGGGTAGAGGAGGGCGGGTGGGGGCGAAATGAGAGGGCGGACATGGGAACCGGGTTTCGTCCATAATCGATCCTTACCATGGCAGCGCCAGGTTTATCACGTGGTGCAGCTGTTTACAGAGTTCTGGTTTCCTCCTCCGTATTGCAGCGGCCTCTGCAAAGCGCAAGAGACGCCCGGTCGTCGCCCGAAACAGGACCTTGAATGCAACCATTGTGTCCACCGTATGGCCGGTGTCCACTAGGTGCTTTGTGATTGAGCTCCTGGGTACCTTATTTTCCGCCCTAAGTAACCATTTCGGCATGTGTTCAGCTGACCGAGCTGCCAACTGCCTTTGCGTGCGCCCAATGTACTTGCATCCGCAACTACATGTAAACTCATAAATGCATGCTTTGTCGCCCTTGCCTTGTTCAAATTTTATTCCGGGAAAACATTGCTTCAATCTAGTTGGATTTGTTTGTTCCTACTATAGGCTCTGAACGTCTAAACATCGAGAGATGAGATGGCCTGGGGCAGACAGATATTGCCCAGCCATTTGTCGCCTCTGCCGTCGTCCGGGGTGAGGGGAGCAGTTAAGAATTTTGCGTTCATTGCTTCAGTGTGAGTGGAGTGAGAAAAGGATAGCTATTGTTAGCCCCTCGAAGGGGCGGACCGCGAACGCCTTTGTGTCTGTGCTTCAATTTTTGTGCGTGCGTGTGTACGTGCGAGCGGGCGGGCGGGCGGGCGGCGTGGGGGCCTCCCTGCATGTCTAGGTCAGAGCGAGCAGGACAATGGTAGCTGCCGTCCCAGGCACGTCATAACGGGCTGACGGCGCAGATGAGGCCGTCAGTAGCCAACACGCACTACCTATCCTGGCCGCGGCGTTTGCGCGCACGATGTTTGGAGCGCGTCAGCGTGCAGGCCAGGCGCCGTTACTCGGCCTGTGTTTAAACCCCATTGCCACTGTCGGCCATCAGTAATGCGGTGGTACTAACCAACTGCAGCCTTTCTGCACACGTAAACAAGGACCGGACAATCGGTGGTTGACCATACCTTGAGATATCACCTCCTGCTCCCTCGCTCTCTCTCTCTGCGGATTTTTTTGATAACGATGCCGTTGTCACCGTTGCCCCTCCTCCTTCTCTTGATGCTCATTCCAATGACTGCATCAGCGACAGTCGAGGCTCTCAACCAAACTCGACTTCATGACCTAGAGCCCGGCCCTCCGACGGACTTGCTCATTGACCTCGAGGTGAGGCGACTGCGCCTGCGTTGTCCTCCTACACACGCCACTTGGTTCTTACCACAGACCCTGACGCACAGCTTGCAGGCCACGCGAGTGAAGCTTTCACCGGACCCGGCCTCTTCCAATTACCTAGATGTGAGTTTTTCTGCCACCGAGGCGGCAGCCGACCGTGCAGCATTGCGAGGTCAGTACACTTGTTGTCCCTATGATCGCCTCACCCTCCGACACCTCTCCTCCAGTTCCTCCCGAGGCCGACTCTATCGTCTGAAGACACCAGCCTGCTGTCCCTGTTGTCCCTGGCCTGAGGAAGAATCCTGCAACCAACTTCCGTGGAATGATTCTGTTTTGTTTTCCTCTGGCCCCTCTTGTCTGCATGTCTTTGTCTACACCGGTGTGGTGGAAAGTGTGAGCCAGCAGGTTAGTCCTCGCTGGGGATCACGGTTCCTGTTTCCCTGTCCCCTGCCGGCCCCACCGCCTCCAACAGGTGAGATCCCTCTAAAAATCTACCGCCAGATTGAGAATATTCCTGCTTCCAGAGAGCTGTGGTTCACTAGTCGGAACCACGCCAGTGGGCACTATGACCCTCGGATCGGTTTTTGTAGTCATCATCGCCAGTTAAAGCATTACTTCATGATTCACGTATGTGAATATGCGCCCAGTTCGGGCGGACTGAGGCGTATCCTCAAAGTGAGACCACCTCCTGCACCACCGTCCCTTCCGCCAACAGTGAGGCTGCTACTTGGCGACCAATCTCGCCATTCCCCGTTGACTGAAGTTCCAAGGCTGAAGAGCGAACAGGAGATTCCCACCTTTCGAACAACGTTGGGAAGTAAAGTAGCTGTTCTGTGTGAAGCCAGTTACACGACCATGGTCATAATTCAGCAACCTCCGCGAATTTGTTTCCGTTGGCGCTTAGTTGAGAACGGCACAGACGCTGACTGGCTTCCAATTGAGTGCCTTCAGATGAGACCATCGTCCGGACGGCGGTCAGTATACGCACAGCACCGCCACCATTTCACTGTTCGTCGGCCTGCCAGTGTGGTGGAATGTGAAGTTACCGAAATTAGTAGGGCCACGGATTCTCAACGTGCCATTGTCCGACTAGAGGCAACAAATGCCACCGAGAAGACACTTCGAATAATCACTTCACTGTTCCATGAAAATGAAACCAACTACAAGATATTTCACGAAATGACTGACGAAAACTTGACGACCACGCTTTTTGTTCACGACACTAGTCGGCCTGAAATCTCCCTCTACTTCTTCAGCTATAACGAAATTGGCACCATCGCAGCCTGCTACGATCCCTTCCCGAGTGGAAATGAGACGGTCACTCATCTTTCTCGGAACATAGATCGATGGGTCTGTGCTGTTAAAATCCCACCGGGGACGCAAAATGTACTTATTACGCTCCAGCAGGGGAATGTGCGGAGTAATGTGTCAATTTACACGTCGCCCCAGTATCATGTCAGCGGCCTCCATGGGTTTTTAGATTATCCTTACAATCTGTCCTGTGTTCAGCACGCCGTCAGCTCTAGGAAGATTGCGCAACTGTTCGCCCAGAGCTTGGCTTCCATACGCTGGCTTGTCTTCGCTGATGGGATACTTCTTCTCAATCAGTCACGGAGTAACTCTTCAGTCAGCCTTATGCTACCCCCATTTGTGAATCGTTCATCCCTGTCTCAGGCTCCACTACTTTCTCATACGACAGGGCAAACCACTTTTTTAGGTTCTGACATCGAGAAGCAACGAGACGTAGACTATATACTTGGAGAACTGAATCGTATTCGTTTGCCAGATTGGCAGGCTCCTCCACGTAATGTCTGCGTCTCCTGTGAGGCTCAACATACAGTCGGGATCAGTCGGAGCCCTCTGGCTTGCCAGAGTTTGGACCTTAGTGAAGATTTCTTTGCCTACCCTTTGTCCTCTTCTTCGTCCACTGATACTGACACTCTCACAACACGAAAATCTCCCTCCTCGTTCAAATCGATGAGCATCCCCGGACCTGACGACAGCATTTCTTTTAGCGTTACGGCCGCATTTCCTGCCCACCCACCAATCTCTAAGGCTAATTTTACCGAGCTGACAGTGTTTAATGGAAGCAGGTTGGGACTACGGTGTGCAATTAGCCTCACAAAGGACAAAACTGCATCTCTTCCTCTCTGGCCACTGATTCTACACTTTGCCAATGAGACCGTACCCCACGCTCGTCTGCCTTTCGGAAAACTTGAATTTTTTGCCCGTCCTCTATCTCTTGAGGTCTACCTAAGTACTGAGGTCAACAATGCAACGACTCCTGGTGTGTACAGTTGCATTTCGAGCAGCACGAACCCTCGGGAGATCAACCCACAGGGACTGAGTCTGAAAACCAAGCCTAATGCGGCGCCCTTTATTATGGAACCCAACCTTCCGGTGCGTTATTTCATGCCCGGTGAAGTAATCCGGCTTGTCTGCCGTGCCACTGGGATGCCGCCGCCGCTACTTGTCTGGAGGATGATCGCCCAGGGCTCAGCTCTGAAGACTTCAAACGAGACTCAGGTTTTACGGCAGTGTGAAGGAAAAATTGACTCGACCGGACTTTTAGTCGCTGCCGACAATCAGGCACCGTCCACTACTGTCTGCAACCTAGTCCTTGAACCGCCAAACTCGACGCAGAACGTTACCGTGCAGTGTGTGGCTGTGAATTTGGTCGGTGAGGCCAAGTCAAGCCTCTCGCTAGTTGTTGTTCTTGGCTCGGCCTCTTCTAAGTACTCTCAAATGTTCCATCGAGTCGTACGGAGTTATGCCTTCTGGATCACTTTCCCGTTGGTATTCTGCCTCTGTCTGTTCATCGGCCTCGCCACCTGTATTTATAAAAAGAGCCGGAAAATAGCAATTGCGGAAAAGCTAATACAAATGGACAACTTGCTCTATGCAAGACCGACAAAGTCTCAACTTTTGGAGATTTCAAGTGCATCCTATTCTTCCAACCAGCTTTTCATTAGGCAGTTAATGCCGACAGAAGAAATGAGAAAAAAGTGGTGCCTTGACAGAAGGAATTTAAAAGGACTTTCCAAGCCGCTGGGAACGGGCCATTATGGTACCGTCCTTAAGGGGGTCTACATCTCACCAGACCACAAGGATAAAAAGTCACCCGCGGATTCCTTTTTTGTTGCCGTAAAAACTCCCTCTGCTGAGCTGAGCAGTCTGACTTGCTTCAGAAATGAACTCCTCCATCTGATGAAGCTATCCGGAGGGCCGAATATTGTCAGTCTGATTGGCTGCATCGTTGGTGTTAGAGAGGACATGAGTGATTCCCTCCTTCTCATGGAGTTTTGCCCAAACACAAGCCTGAGCGAGTATTTAGTGCAAGTGTTTCACCCGAGGCCCTACCAAGCCAACCTTGCTCGCACCTTTCAGAGCGCAGAAGGTACCTCCAACACTCTGAGCACTCGCCTTTCCTCAACCACCTTTCCGTACGAGGCCTTCTCAGGAAATACCTCCAGCGGTGGGTACGTTTCAGTCATTCAGCCCCAACCATCCGGCTGTTACACATGGAGAGCCCTCTACCGCGACCATGGTTTGATGTCTTCCAGACATCGACGTGCGCGAACTGGCAACTCCTTTGTCTACCAGCGCATTGATGGTGACTATAGTACCTTCCTTATGGGTATAGCGCAAGGTATTGCCCGAGGTCTGGAGTTTCTCAGCCAGAATTTTGTCATTCATCGCGACATTGCCACACGAAATGTCCTCCTTGATAGTCGTCAGGTGCCTAAGATTTGCGATTTCGGGTTAGCCGTCACAGTAGGAGGTGAGTCTTCGGCCACTGATGGAACAAACTTATCCTCCGAACCAGGCGCAGGTTGTTACCGTATCATTACCTTTGCTAAGCAGCTGCCCTTTCGCATACTTCCACCGGAGGCACTGTCTAATCAAATGTTTTACCTGACCTCCGATGTCTGGGAATTTGGACTTTTGCTCTGGCAAATGTTCTTTCTTGAGACCCGAAAGCCTTTTGAAAGCGTACAGACCTCAGAAGCCCTTCTCCGCCTTCTTACTTCCACAACTCGACTCTGTCCAGAAAAACCACCAATCTCCCCACCTTCCTCACCTCCAACTCTAGATCGTCCGCCGGCAGTTTCTTCCGCATTATGGACACTGATGTGTGACTGCTGGCATCTGGAGCCCACTCGAAGGCCCTCAGCCACGGAGGTACGACAGCGAGTCGATGACTGTATTGCTCTTCTAGAATCGGGTTACACACCAAGCGAGCAGCTCGATAACAACAGCGATTCGGTCAGCTACCAGATTCTCCGACGGCCCAGCGCGACTTCTGAGATGCGCGAAATGGCTTGTGGAGACCTTTCTGCTGATTGTCTTCGTACTCCACCCCAGCCCCGCAACTATGAAAACGTTGTTCCACTGAATGTCGATGATGAATATCTGGAAGCCAGGGAGTCTCTCTGTCCTATGTGACATTTCCGCCAGCCCACTGAATTTTCGGCTTCTGGATGCTAGACGATCCAGATCATTGTGTTTTGGAACTTGCTACGAGAAACCTGAAAACACTTAGAGGTACGTTCTTCTGATCCACACTGCATATGAGCATCCCCCATTACATGCCAAGCTGCCTTCATTCCCTTCAAGGAAATGCTCGATGTTATTTGATAAACTTTTGACTGGCGCCATATTTTAACGTCGCCCCTGCCCCCTCCCCCTCCTCGAAGGCAGCTCACTTGCACAAAAATCGACCGATTTTTTTGCAATTATTTTTGTGTAATATCTCCTTTTCGACTCTGGATAAGCGTCCTGGGTTGAACCCGCGCTTCGGCCTTGTCTGTACAGTTTTTTTATCAGTAAAATAGTACCATGAAGGGATAAGAAAAAAACCTGAAGGGCGGCAAATTGCATCACCTTATGGGTCAGAGAGTGACTGGGAAATCTCAGCGTCGGTATCCAAGTCATTAGTTTGCCTATCCAAATATGCGAGGATGTCCTACCTACAGCCATCAGTCTTCTAACTGAAGGTTTACATAATCACGAGTTTTGTCGCCCTCCCCTCCCCCCGAATGGGCTGAGCCGTTGTTGTGCTAGACCAAAGCGCCGATAGCGTTAACTCATGGTATGTCTTGGTGGGACTGCACTGAGCCTACGTTAGTCTTTAACTGATACCGTGCCTGTGACACGCGTTGGAAGGAGACTCACGCCACATCAGCCGCTGTGTTTAATCTCACAACCGGTCTGTTAAAAGGCTCGGAAATGTCATTGATGTGTGTGTGTGTGTGGGAGGTAAGAGAGACCGGGAGTGCATCCAGCCTGCATCCTCTCTGCAAACAATCAGAGGCATTTTTAAATTGCCGCGATGCGCCAAAATTCATGACTGAGATGGTTGCCAGCAATACCGTGCGCTTTCAGACTAAAGCTCTTGCTGTAATGGCTCCTTAATGTGGCCTTTATGCTACTCACACTTGTATGACATTTTAGATCTCGCACTTGCCCCTCCGCAATGAGCCCTCATGCGTGTGAAATTAGAGGACCAGGTCGCATATGGCATGCGTAGACGGACTGTTATGCTTTGTAAGTCACTGCGCCTACATCCACCCTAGGTCTCGCTGGCATTGTCTTGTCATTGGAACGCAATGAGCGTAGCGAGAGAGAGAGAGAGAGAGAGTGAAGTGAGAAAGATCGTACGCCAGCCTGCTTCAATATAAACAAAATTCACAAAATCCACCACTGCGCTGTCCTACCGACAGTGGTGAATCTCGTCTGTTGCGACAGTCGAACTTCCATGATAAGGGGCTCCATGAAACCGTAAATGAGCCATTTTTGGGCAGGTGTGCACAAATCTTGTGCAAGCAGATGCGCGCCGCTTTTGTCAATGGCGCAAGTACCCGTTTTCGGCGAACACGTCACAATGGTATCACCAACAAAGACAAGGGAGACGGAATGGCCATTTCTGGCTTATTAGCCGTCGTCAGCCAGTCATACTCAACCCCGAAGTGTGTAAAACCTGGGACTCGAACTCGCGACCTGTTGGTTGGAAGTCCAACGCCTCTAACCACGGGGCCACGGGCCCGTTGTCCTGTTGGTTGCGATCGGGAATATACAGTGGTAGAGAAGGACGCTCACCGATCGTTTCTACGGAACTCACTCGTTCAGTTGTGCCTTAGGGCCTTCTCTCTCGAGTCCAACCAGCAGCCGCACAGCGGCGCATGATATAGGGGGGTGAGCGCCCCCCTCTACCATCCTAAATTCCCGATCGCAATCCACAGGACAACGGACCCGTGGCCCAGTGGTTAGAGGCGTTGGACCTCTAACTAACAGGTCGCTAGGTTAAGTCCCACGTTTTCCACACTTCAAGGTTGGGTATGACTGGCTGACGACGAATAATAAGCCAGAAATGGTCATTCCAATCTCCCCTGTCTTTGTCGGAAATACCATTCTGCCTATAGCCTGCGCCGCTATGCGGCTGCTGGTTGGACTCAAGAGAGGGCCCTAAGGCACAACGGAATGAGTGAGTTCCGTAGAAACAATCGGTGAGCGCTCCCTCTACCAAACATGCCATAGTGCTCCCCTATTCTTCTAACTTGGATGATTTCTGATGAGTAGGATAAAATTGGGTTTCGGGAGTAGACTTCTTCGGAATGCTTAGAGTCATTTCCTCTACCGTTGAGACTGTCCCTTGACAACCTAAAAAAAACAACGACATTCACCGGCATGGGTTTATCGGACACCTTATTTTTCACCAACTGGCGTATCCAGCGAGGACTCGAAAGGTTCCTATCTCTTCTCTCATACATTGGAGCTTGCGCCACTAGCTAATCATCTCAATGAGGCTTCCCTCCTGTTTAGTGTGGCGCCAAACGCAAGAGTATCTAAAAGAAGGCGAAGGCGCGATCACTGGGACAGCAGGTTTATTTGCCTGAGCTTTCGAACTAGAACTAGAGTTCATCATCAGAGGCTACTCGAGTGCAGCAAATTTTGAACAATTGTACAAGAGTATCTTGCAAACAATTTTGAACAGTCGGACTAAGGGAATCCGTTTTCTGAAGGTAACGGTTTCAGACAAAGTGTCAGCAAGCACAACAGGCGCTATGCTATAGTACTTGTAAGGGGGAAGCATTGGACATGTTACGGATGCCGTTTTTCATCGCAAAGGTTCCGTCCGTTCGACCCACCATACAATATCCATAATTCACGAACGAATATCAACTCCACGTTTTGTCGCCGACACCAGGACCTGGCTTTCGTCGTGCGCAAAGAAGCATGTAGTTTCGACCGGGAAAACGTACGATTGTAATTAAGCTAGACAAGTATGTGCTGCTAAGAGAGCAAAGATGAAGAGCCAGTGAAAATCCTGATGATATGGTATCTGCGTCGAACAGTCATTGCAACCTCGAAGTAGGATGCCAATTGTGTTGCTCTCTAGGAGAGCATGCAACCATCTCAAAGCCTTATTTTATTCAGTTAACTAGATTGTGCATTTTCAGCCCGTTTATAGTACATGACTGGTAATAAAGCATGTGCGTAATGACTTGGTTGTTTTACTCGTCTGACCCTGGTCCATCCTCACTCAACCTGTCTAGGGGGCCGAACTCATGTCACCTTGCTTAGAAGGGCTTGTTTGGTCAGCGGAACGTGTTTTTGACCTTGGAGACTTGGCTTAGTCTCCGAGGCGGCAACCTGATTGTATACCCCCATTTTGGGCAAAGCTGGCCGACGATAAAGGGTGCATCCGTAATTAACGTTATTGTGTTGCCCTCATTCTCAGATTAACTCCTGATTTTTCGCAGATGATGGAAGTGTAATTTCTAATAGCTGAGGTCCGTGGCATCCCAGACACATTTACTGCTTACGCCGTATCTTCTTTATCAGAAGCTCTTCACAGAGCAGCGAACGAGGACGAACACCTATTCAAGGAAGACAAGCCTGCAGACTGGCCGTTCCGTGTCCACGTGTTGCATAATTTACCGTGTCCGTCCCCAAAACTGTCGCATTGCCCTTTATAGTAAAGCTCCATGCCTTCCTGGCCGCCGAATGTGGGTGACTGAGGTCAAATAGCGCGATCTAAATACCCAGCGTGCAAAGAATCTGGGTGTCCCTACCCATGCGCTTCAGGCAAGTAGATTGTGTTTGTTTAGGTCCGTGTCGACTTTGCGAGTCACCCCCTTTGACCTTGATTAAGCCCAGGAAGTGTCCACAGTGCTTGGGGCAAACCACAAAGCCCTGGTCGCCGGCATCTCCCGTCAACCTTCATTGTCCCGTCTAGACGTGCGGTGGATACGCTAGTGAAAGAAGGTGCATGTGACGGCCTGACCAGGGCACATGCAGGGGGGACGAATGAATTTCGCAGGGTGTGAGAGGACTGCCCTTGTTTTCAACACCCTAGGGATAGGACAATCCATGCCGGGGGACGGGGGGGCGGCAACGTCGCCGGTGCGGTGAGACATCAGCCACGACTGAGTAAGCATGCGTACCTTTATGTTCCCCACACCGCGGTACAGGCGCTGAGCTCCGAAAAAAGCGGTAGTCGCAGTGTTAGTATCAGCCAGTTATCCCGACCGACGGCGTAGCTCGATAAACAGTTTTTTTCCCTCTCCCCTTAATGTATTACCGGCTGTAAACCTTCGTAGTCTCACGCCAAGTAGTCTGCTAGGCAACACTTTCGGCGCACGCAGAGGAGGCGCAGACAACTGCCTCAGAGTCACTATCTGCTAGTAGAATGTCTCAGCCATCCGCCGTCGTAGAAGAGGCGGGGAAGCACTAATGAGTGTAAGGCCAATTAACCATTCCGCCGAATCCGCGTTTATACTATATTCTCTGTCTCCTTTTGCACATGAGACCGACAGCCATTTATGATACGGCATCTATTGAGGCAAAAGCAGCTGATTGGAAAACAAATTGGGGCAGGGATTGCTTATATGGCCCCCTCGCCAGGAAATGAAGACGAGAGTCACCCGGTGATACAGATGGCCTCGCGCTAAATTCCAGGCAAATTAGGCTTAAGGTTACAGTTAGGGTTAGGATTAAGGTCAGGTTTGCGGCTAGGGTTAGGACTAGGGTCATGGTTAAAGTTAGGGTAAGAACCTGGGGCTATTTACCCCTCCTAGGATTTAGTGCAGGGTCACCTGTTTTACACGGGGGACGTTCTTAACCCTTGCGTCTTGCTTAGGGGTGGGGGGAGTACATACACGTAATGCCGACCCAAAGTGGAACTGCATTTGATCACATTATTGTATTGGCGCGCAATGCCAGCCATTGCGCCTTGAATATACACATCAATGCCCACGCTTAAAAGGTAACTTCTTAGTCACCTGACGGTCTTTGGTTTTGGTCTACGCTTGTCACCGTGGTGTTTCAGGTCGGTCAGGCGAGGCTTTCCTAGTGAAGGAAATTCAGCTGGTACCGATGAGCACTTGAAGCAAGAAAAGTTATTCTCATTAGACTTCTTGATGCGGAATTACACAGTTCTACTT